TTTTCCAATCTTAATGATTCTATGATTATATAGGTATAAACTTTGAAAATTAAAAGCAAGTAGATATTGTTAAAAGTATGTCCCGGATGTAACTCAGGAAGTATACAGCAACATTAGATTAAAGCAGATGAGAGAATGAATAGACCAGGCAGGGAATAATCATTAGCCTTGGGAGTATTACCCAGGCAAATTTTGCTGTCATTAACATCCATGAATTTAATAGTATTAGAACTTTTTTTTTTAATGTCTCTACAAAAAGATCAATCTCATGCTAGCCTCTCTTCAGAGCAGGAAATAAAAGTTAATCTATAACGTAATATACAATATTCAAAGAATGTAGCTTAATGAAAATGCCTCTAATATGGAATTATTTACTCTTCAGTAGTCCTTCTAGGAATAAGTGAAAAGCTTTTGTGCATACACTGTATGAAATTATTAAAAATATGAGTGTAAAAAATCCCAAGAAAAAGTAGAATGCTGGACTCAGTTCAACCACTATAACTTCTTTTTTAAACTTTATATACATACCTTTTCCCAGATTATTAATCCAAGGTAAGTATCAGTAGTGCAGAAAACCATGATACAAGCAAAATTAAAAAAATTTAAAACACAAATTTAAACATGATAGGTACTGATCATAATTTTCCTCCCTGAAATCAGATCCTAGCATGTACATCTTACCAAAATTACTTCATGTGGACAATTTTGTAGTACCTGCATCTAATTAATTAGGCTAACTGTAAGGACAGTAATGGGAACTGGTCAGTGTTACAAACTTCTTATGCAGTACTCACAGGTTTTTAAAAATTTTTTTTTAAAAAAAGGAAAAAATATATAATTTTTTGTATAAAGAGATGGTTGCTAGCCCTCTGTTGTGATTTGTACTTATTCCAATTAGCTGTCCATATCCTCATATTGAAGATAACTGTCTTTTTCACTGCTGTATTTATTAGAAATATCTACAAATATCACAAAGAAAAGATTACCTCAGTAACGGAAACCAACAAACACTTTCAAACAGCACCTACAGTCAGTTAATGCTCTTTTAATACATCTTGTCTACTTACTTCAATATTCAGCAGTAAAAGTTAAGAGAGTGACATTTCAAAATCTGAAGATACCAGTCCACATTCTTGTTTATTATAGAGCCATACAGGTTTGAGAAGTTCCTGCACCTCAACTCCTTATTATCACCTACTCAGTTTCAGTGCAAACTAAAATAAGTTGGTATAAAATATCACAACAGTTAATCAGACCTTTTTCACTTTAAGTTAAGTATGTTCTCTACAACTTGATTGTGCTTCTTTTTTAACATCTAAAATAAATTTCAGTTTTTGTATTCTGAAAACAACAGGTAGAATGTAGCACGGTTGTTCTTGCAAATATGGATTGATGATGCTGAAAGTCTTCCAGGGAATTTAGTGATGCCTGATCCTACCCAATTATTGAATTGTCAGAGACTTCTTATTTGAATTTCTATCTAAAGGCTTATTCATAGTATAACTGAGAAACCTATCCTTTTTGTAACTTCACATAAAAAGTTTTCAAGCAAGTGAGTAGGTAAATACAAACAGGCTTTAATCATACAGTCCTTCCTTAAGGAAGCTCATATGTCATCTGACTAGGTCCAGCATATTTTAGTTAAACTGTACAGCTGTCGTAAAGTCTCTACACACCTACTCACACGAGTTGGACAAATGAAGACAACTTCATGAACTTCTCAACACTTTCTTTATTCATTTTTCTGTCAGGTAACTAACACTTTAGTTGAAAAAAGAAAAAAAAAAGTCAGTGCCTGAGATACTCAACACAGATCAAACCCAACCTTAGTTAAATGAAAACTACTAGATAGCCTATTGTTTTATCCTCCCACCCCATTTGATGGCCTTTCTATTCTAAGCCAAGTACCTGCACTCCCGAGATTGTCAATTTAATATAGTATTTGGTAATACTACGAAGACATCCAACCATGTGTGAATCCCAGTCTGACAAATAAATGGATCTCCAAATGCTATCACGTTAGAATCTCTTGAATACCATCCCTTCTTACTTCTTTGTAGTCCAGCTTGTCATTAACGGTGCAAGGGTGATTCCCTCTAAGCTTATCTTCCAACCTCTCTGAATAGCACATTCTTCAGTTCCTGCATTCCAGCCACACTGCTTTTCTACCTAATTTCTATCTATACTGCAATTAGTTCCAGTTGTATTATCATACTAAAATTGGGACATATCTTTTTGTTATGGGTTATCCTGCCCCAAGACACTTCTTTACCCATTTTTATATTCTCCTTACTTGATTTTCTTCCTCCCCTCCACCTAGAGGGATTAACATGACGGTCTCTTCTAAACTCCTGTTGTTATTACCTAGTTCAAAATGGTAATTAGTCATATCAGCCTGATGCCACAGGGCCACTATTTCAGCTGAGCAAACAGACCTGTTTGAAAAGAGTCCCTTTCAAGGAATGCAAACAGACCTGTTTGAACAGTCCCCTTTCAAGGAATGCTTCCTTCAAACATCTCAAAATCCTCCTACTAATATCTATCTCGAGAACCATGCATTCTTCATTATTTTCACAAAGATGAGAACAACTCATTAGAGTTTACCTCAGCCTCAGTTTCTTTAAACGTCTTTCCTACTTAGCTTGGTGTAGTCATCTTCAACCTGTTTCACAGAATTCAAAGTTATCACTTATCCTGTTACAAACAACAATCAGCGGACTCCATGCCAATATCATTAGGATGTTTTTACCCCAAGTTTACATCCCAGATTCTGGCAAGCTACACATACTTATTTCAAGATCTATTCTCATAAATGGCCTCTCTATTTTTATTAAGAGTTCACAATCTTAGAGGTCTTGGATGTTTAGCTGAATCTCTCATCTCTCATTCTTTCTTCTGTTTTAGATCATTAAGTCTTCTAACCCTTTTTCCAGTCCTCTGTATGTCATTTCTTTCCCTTCTGGATTTAATTTTCTGGTTATCTCCATCATCCATTTCTCTTGTGCAGTTAGTTTCTTACATTGCTTCTCCATATTTTCTTCCCATGAGTTTCACTTGCCCATTTTTCAAATATCATTGACTGGCTCTTCCATTGCTAAGTCAATTCTGTAACCATAAAGACAGGAAGCAAACTGTTTCCCTGAATTACCCTGCACAAGCTGAGATTTTTCTCCTTGATTTTGTTTGGTGCATGCCTGCTTTTTCCCCCCCCTCTTCCATCACAGCTGTAAACTCTCCCTACCTTCTTCTTTAGAGGCACACTGCCCTTAAATTTTCTCTTATTTCTAATGAAGGACAGTGTATGTAGGAATACTTTCCCCCATACTTTTCCCCACTTACTATAACACACATTCCATTTCTGTGTCATGCCTCAATGCTATTATCACCTTGGTAATTACCAAAACCTTCTCTTCTTATTTCTACTGTTCAGGAAATAAAAGAAGTATTTCTGACCAACTTGTCCATTTCTTCCTTTTTGCTTGCTTTTGTGTCTGGCTGCTTTTTTTGCTTTAAAAAAAAACCAAACCAAAATTTGTTGTGATTCCTTTGTGATTCCTTTCCAGAAATTTATTTCTAAAGGCATGGATAATGTAAACATTACAGTTAAGCCTGAGACACAACAGTCAAACAACCTATACTGAATCTACTAGTACTTTTTAGAAAAACAATCAAGTTTAAAAATTATTACAATGTTTTCCTCTTCTTAGAACAGATGTGGCCTAGCAGACTGACCTTTAGTTTAAGTGCACTGTTTGAACAGGGTAGGGAACAGATAAAAATAATAAAACATGGCATTGCTCAATTAAAAATTTTAATATGTCAACATACTTCTGTATATTTCAGGATGATTTATCCAGAATGTCATCGGCTGGTTGTATTAAATTGTGCATAATACTGGCCTGTTGGAGAATTTGAATATGCTTCTTCTTTAAGATAAATGTTCCTAGTAATAAATAAATAAATAATAAAAAAATGTAGTTAGTAAATGTTTTCTCATTATAATATAGAAGTAACCTGAGAGACCTAAAGAAGTTGTAATGCATAAACACTCATAAATGCTCACAAAATTCAGAATTATTAGAAATGGAATTTAATATAACTAGATCTTTTTCTCCAAAATGTATGCCACATGTCAATATAGCAAACTTTTTTTTTTTAATCCTAAAATAACCTTCCAAAAGTCTCACAGTGAAAAACTAAATTAACACAATTCCAAATTTTTGCCTTCACAATAGGAAAACATCAGGTACTGGAAATTCTTTTGTAAAATGTATGTATGCATGCATGATGAAAAAAAAAGAAAAAACAACAACAACAACAAAAGACTGGAAGAATAGAATACTGAATCACTTAGTTTGATTTTTTCCTTCACATATTATCTTCTTCCTTTCCCATTAGAGCAGACACAAGACCTGTCCACCAAGACACGTCCAATGGTTAGCTAAAGAATCATCTGGTTTTGTCATACGTAACGGAGAAGCTCCACTTGTGCCATTAGCTTAACCTTGGACTATCAGAAACTGGCAGTTCTACTGATACCCATGTTTTTTTGTTTCAGAAAACTAAGGTAAAACTAAGGTAAATTAAAGAAACACGTACTGTTTTACACCTGATAATATAATTTTCTGCATAGTTAATCGTATTTATTCTCTACTTTGCTATCTATATAAACCGTCTGTTGTCAGTGGAACGCTTTTAAGAATTCCAGCTACTAATTCATACATGTAAGTCAGTAACAATCATAACCTACTCTTTGAAGATTGTTTAAATAGGACTCAAAAACACACTTAAGCTGAATTGTTGATTTTTTTAAAAGTAAAAACTTGTAACAAGTGTATTAAAAAAGTAACAAACAATACAAGTAAAAAACCTCTTTGAAAGCCAAGCTATTGTGTTAACGGTAAAGAGTTTTATTTGAAAAGAAAAGTCTTTTGGTACTTACTTTGATTTCTGCTCCTGAGATAGCTCTGCATTTACGTTATCTAAAACTCGGCGGCGTTCCCGATTCTGTCGTTGTTGATGCCGCTCTAAAACCAACTGTGCTCTTGCAGCCTGTATACTTTGCCTGTCCCATTCAGCATCTCTTCGGCGTTCTTCCTCTTTTAGTCTCTACAGGAGTGAAAAAAATGCTTCATTTTCCCTTTGTTCAAAGATGAAACAATATATATAAAGTCTGATTGGTAAGTTCATCCAAACACGCTTGCCTTTACTGAACACTAGGGGTAGCATTTGAAGTATGGAGAAAAAGTGAGCAGTTGCAAACTAGGTAGGAGCCCATGTATTAGGCAGAAGAAAGATATTGCAGATGAGAAAGCTATCCTTTTCCAGGGAACAAGACAGACTCCTACCTCTGCACAAGGTAAAAAAATTAGGATCTGCTGCCTGGCAGAAGTAAATTAATCAGTAGATTACTATTTCTCTCTGACATATTAGCGCGCTTTAAAAACCCAAAGCAGCAAGACAGATTTTTTTTTTTTAAAGTTCTTGTTTTAGCAAGAGTTGTAACTTCTTGAGGTCAGAAGTTAGTAGACATCAGTATGGCTTATAATACGACTAACTCAGTGTAATAACTGAGCCACCAGCACCAGATGAGTAGACCCAAACTGTTTTTTCCTCTGCCTCTGTTACACTATTACTTCCTCACTTCTTGTCTGACATCACACTGAACTGATTCAAGAAACCAGGCCTGCAAAAAACTCACTTTTCTTAGAGGGGCTCATTCTCTGCCAGCTTAACTACTTGAATGGGTTCACTTTCGGGTCATAGGAGAGCCAGGAAAATGACAATTCTATCTTCAGCTTTAATAACAGCAGTAGATAAGACATAGTGTAGCATACGGTATTGTAGGGATTAAAAAATAAAATTGAACAGCTATTCATTAACTGTTATGAATCCAGCCTCTGTGCTGAATGAGGTAAGTAGCTTCCTACTTCACAATACCTAGACCTGTACACTCATGACGGCATAGGAAGGGTAGATTTCTTTATTTTCACCGGCTGCTTCCATACACCTTTAGAGCAGCAATTATTAGCAATATTTAGTTTTTCTATTGTAATTCTATCCTAGAGCATTTCTCATAGTTGTGTGGGATGATACAAAGGAAATTCCATTGCATTCGTGAACTTTTAAGACTATGATATATGCATGAACAGGATCACTGGACCTGCTCTATTTGTCTTGCTCGAGTACCCTTGAGAACGCTGCTCCGGCCTGCCCTGCTTTCACCCTCAGCTCCTGACCCTTCTTCCCCTACAGAGCAGCCCACTCCTGCTCATCCCTTGCAGGCAGCTCATGCAGTCTCAGGTCCTAAACTGCACCATGAAGCCTGGGTCTCGGGCTGTGCAGGACCTTGCTCCTCAGCTGGGCCACCATGGAACATGCCCCAAGATCCCCCAGGCCCCTTAGCCCTGGGCTCCACAGTAACTTTCCTCCCAGCCCAACTCGAGGGTTCCAGCCCACTCCTGCTGCTCCATGACATTTCCCAGCTGCTTCAGAGACACTGTGTTCAGTTTGACTGATTAAATTTTGGGTAAAAGTCAGATCACTGGAAAACACAGTCTTATAATGGGACTTATAAAGGCATAAGTAAATGCCTTACTGTTATATGGGCAAACAATAATATTTTCTTCTACAAACATTGTCTATAATCTTATTACAACCAGGAATACAGAATGTGCATGTAAGCTTAAATACCAGTTTCTCCAGAACTTGTTGCTGTTGAGAGTACCGGATTGCCATCAGCTGATCCTGATTCATTCCCTTCCATCTATCTGTGATCACACGATGTCTACCAAAGGAACTGACTGCTTGTTCAGGGTTTTCAGAAAGTAAGTCTCCTTGAAGGAGGCTGGAAATTTCATCCATGTCATCCTTCATTTTTTGACGCTTTTCCAACTTCATTCTGTCAGCTAGTTCAGCAGCCTAAATTCAGTGAAAGGAGAGAACTGATAGTTTTTCCAAGAGAAAATATTAACTAAGGGATGCAACAAAGTTATCACATCATAATAGATTTCTTTCCAACTTGCATACAGTTGTCAACAGCATCACATATGAATACTGTGATGATGGTCCTATTGGCTAAGATCAAAAATCTGATAGTATACATTTCTTCAATGTTGTCATATCACACACAGCAAGTAATTTAGGGAAAAATATTTTTGTTTTATAAGAAAAGCCAGAATTAAATAAAAAATAATTTCACATTTATCCACAAACAAATACCAGTTGATATTTGGAGACCAGACACAATTTGGAAGAAATTTATGATAAAAATTTACAATCTTGAATCACCAGCCTTGATATATATTACATATTAAATCTAAGTGGAGAGTGTGGTTAAGCACTCAAAACAAACAAACAAACAGACAGGAGATGCCTATGTTAAGCTTGAAGATGCAGCCTTGAATCTGTTCCCTTTGCTGATACAAAATGCAAACTTGAATCATATTATGTGAATATATCTGTAGTATTAGAAATCATAATATGCATTTCCTATGGAAATCACTCTTCCTAATGTCCACTATAAGGTCATAGTCTCCTATTCAGAGGAAATTTTCCCCTTCCAAAACGTCAGAAAGCAAATATGATGATTTTACTTTAAAGTAATTACCTTCCAAAGAAGAATTAGACTAAGTAAATTAATTTGAAGTAGAATGATAATGCTATGCATCATCCATTTCTAATCCTGTCTCGTTCTTCTGCAATGCTAAACTAAACCCTCTGGAACAATGCACAGTGCCGCCTTCCGTCTGGACAGAGGATAGGTAATCTCCTTCTTGCTAGGGCACAAAGAGCACAGGTTGCCCGACCCGTCTCTTGCATATGTAGCTTTACACATATATCTTGACTGCAACAGACCAGTGGATACCCATCTCTCCAGTTTGTCCAAGATTGTCTCATACTCTGTTCAAAAATCAGTGGCTTGAGAATATTCACTTTACAAGTTAAGTAGAACAGCTCTGTACTTTTCTTGCCGACTAGTAATTCACTGGCTGGCGCACACACATTTAGCAAGTGGATGAGGACAAACGAAAAATGAAGGGTTATGCATCAGAAAGCCATACCTGGTAAAATAGTCTTCTGTGATATATAAGGTGAAGCTGAAAATTAGTAGACAGAGCAACTAGAAGATATAAACAACTGAGAATGACAGGACGATCTAGACACACATGTGGGAACCTGTTCCTTTGCAAATGTTACGGAGAAGAATCCTAACTCAGTAAGCACAGTGATCTATGCCACCAGAGGAGACTGCTAACCTGGGTTTATCTCTACATTTATATTTATGGACTTCGAGTTTGGATGACAGCAGTTCTCCCAAGCATCAGGCCTGGAGACTGTCAAAGAGCAACTTCTATTTGGTCCAAGTAAACAGGGACAACAACCTGTCAGAGATCAGACAGAAGAAGAAATAACAAATAATACTAAGTACCATATCCTAGATTAGTAAATTCCACGGCTGAAAACAGCCTTGTGGTTTTCATGAAAATAACAAAAATGTTTGATGTGCAAACAAACTAATAAAAGATAAATTCTTTTTTTTAGAATTATAAATTAGCTAAGCCACAATTCAACTTAGATGATGCAGAAAACCTCGTATTTAAAAATACTTACCAGCCATCTAACAGGAACACACATTCTACTCTAGACCACGAAAAGAAATGTCTACTTTTAGAAAAATGGAAAAACTCAAGCAAATCAATTTTCAAGTGGCAAAACATCAACTTCAGATATAGTAATTACCGGCTCTGCCATCATAACATGGAATAATACATTGGAAACTAAAGGCCACTTTTTCATCTCACTGAAGTCAGTGAGTACAATTTTTACCAGAAGTTTAAAGCAATTTTTTTAATCCAAAATGTGTTTCCCTGAAGTTTTTTTTTCTCCAGAAAAGTCAATAATAACTTGAGAGGGACTACGACATTACAATTTCCAAGAAAAAAGAAAGAAAAAACCCCAAAGATTTTCAATCATCTGATATTTTTGGGACACTGAACCAAAATATCTGGGTATGTACTTTTAGCTTATTAATACTATGAATCGAGCAATTATTTTTAGTTCTGAAAATGCTCCAGAGTAAATCACATTTAACAGAAAGTCATTCTGGAAGGACCTCACATTACTGGCCTACAATGAAGAATTATTGAAGCTTAAAATGTGTAATTTTTCTTTAGATCACTTTACTAATGTCACTCCACCGTGATCTAGAAACAGATCCAAAAAAGGCACTTAGACCTTGTAACCCTAACCTTCTCAGTAAGAGGGAGAGCCTAAAATTTCTGAGCTGCCTGGGAATCTTACTGGAGGAAACTCCCAGCTCTACGCATAGCCATGCATGTAGCACTATGATGCGACTATTAATGACACTACAAAAGAAAGATTTTAAACCCGGAAAATGCATCAGATTTAACCTATCAAGTCAAATCCCTAATAAAACATAATTCATTGGTGTAGCACAGAAAAAAACCACAGACGCACAAATACATGCTCCTTCATTTATGCTGATTTGTGATCCAACATTATGTATCTTCCCTACTACTAAATACTTCCTTTCACTGTTGATTGAAGTCATAAAGCAAAAGAAGAAACACACATAGAAGCCTCACAAGGCCAGGACTTCACATGCTTAGAATAACACCAAGTCTCGAGTGTGTGAGGAACTAACTGCTGCCAACACAGGACTAAAGCAATGCGCAGCTTCTGAAGTCCTTATCACTAAGTCACAAAGCTCACAGATGACCAGAGTGACCTATCCAGGGTCTTAGGAAAGAATACTTCTTGTGAAAGAAGTATTATTAATCTGTATAGTAAATACAATTCCTTTGTCTGTATTATACAGATACTTATCTCATAGTAGAGAATTGCACATCCAGCACATTCAAGCTAGGAACTTCTGCTTAGCAAGGTCTATAAAAAAAATCAGTACGCGCACTATGTTTCCTCATGCCTGAAAATGTGGTAAAAATGTTGAAATATTGACGATTCTAAATGTTGAATATCAAGAATAGGATGTAGGTGATAAAAGATATTTGCACAGCACACTTCATAGAATGATAAAAAGTTATCACTCTTCTTCTATGTTTAGGCACTCAAATATTTCATTTCAGGTGAAAAAAAGGCTCCACAGTTAATGCAAAAACATAATTTACTCAAAGCCTGAAAAGCTATTTCTCTGAAGTGGCTGCTGGCTCTTAACAGCATAATGTTGAGTGAATACGGAACCAGAATAATGCCATCAAATGTCTATGATAACAACATTATCAGGAAAACTATCAAGCTGTTGTGGTATGCCCAGGAATAAATTCTAAGGACATAAGGTCTATAAGATTGTTAACAAGGCTATAAATATGAGGTCATTAAATTAGAGATCCTTTGTAATCACATCCTCTCATTTTCTTAGCATTATCTACAAAGTGTCTTGGAAACGATTCAAGTCCTGTGCTATATAAAGCAAGAAGACTCTTTCTTTCTGATTTCAAGAACACAATCAGTATATCTGATCTGTATCAGTATATCTACCACTGTACTGCCAAATTGGGCATTCCCAAGTGTTATCACCCTTAGTGAGGAACCTCTTTCTACAACAGAAAGATTCTGCTATGGAATCACACAGAAGTGAAAAATACATATTCGTCAGGACTCTGGGTAGCCTTCATTTCTGTTACCTGGCTTGTCAAATTAAAATTATTATTACTTGTGTATGAATGTAACTGACAGTTTAAGCTAGTAGAAGTCTTCTCTTATGCCGAGGACAAAAGCAATATTGGTGTTTCTGGTTAACACATACCTGCGTGAGAGAAAATCTGAGAGGAAGGATAGCATTAATCTTCTAGACACTACACACACTTAGAATGTTTACAGTACAGGATCCTTCACCACTGGGAAATACGGTACCAAACATATCATCAATTCATTGTCCTGCTAATTAATTCCAGAAGAACAAAAAGAACCATTAGTAATAAGATTGTCAGCAATAAAGTCATTGGCAAAGGTATTGTGGTAAGTGGAGGAAGCTGAACCACTGTCACAGGGGCAGCAACATCAAATCCTGTAACGAAGGCAAGCTGTGATGAACTGAGATACCCTACCTTCAGTCATCTGCTAGGACTCTTTACTAACTGATTCTTTACTAGCAGACTAACCAAAACGTGTTTTTCCTGCAGTACACGAGTTGCTTGTTTTTATGTTGGGGGTTTTTTTTTGTTTGTTTTAAAAAATGTATTTTATTCTTTACATCCCCTGAAGATACTGGCAACCGTAAGGACTACAGATGATGGCCACAGAGATAATGATTGATCCAAAGCCAAATTCTAGGAAATTTCTTCCTCTCTGAAGATGCATTCCCATATTATACTTTATCCAAATTGCAGTAACTGAGGGTTGCCTTAGAAAGGGTGGGTTTGCTTTCTCCCTTCCTTTACTGCCACCTCAGACTCTGCATTCACTCCTCCCAGTCAGATCTAGCAGTCACTCATTCTAAACTAGAGTTCATTTTCTTTTGGATTTGATAAATTATCTAACACAGCCTGAAGCTTCATGACCATTAGATCCACTGCAAGAGAGACAGCAGAAAAAAAATGTATGAAACTTAGGGAAAAGGAAAAAAGAGTTCCTCTTTTGGCAGTCACTGACAGGTAGAGCAGATATGTATAGAGCAAAACACAGTGCGAGACTGCACCCTCAAGAGGTTAAGGTCTTCAAACCAGTTACTCAGAATGCTGAAACTGCTGGAGACTCCTGTTGAATACATTCGAGGTCAGATTCAGAGACTTCTGTGAAGTTCATTCTCAGGCTGAATGCCTTGGTTTTCTCTCTTGGGAAAAAGATGTACAGAAAATTCCTCTATAACATAGCTTTCTTTTAAAGGCAATATCACTGACAGGCCTGGCAACCTGAAACCTCTGGCTTGCACGTTTAATTAAGAAAAGCAGTGACTGTGCCAGCATATCATTTCAGAGAAAAAGAAGAACTTTTCGCAACCATTCAGCAAAAAACAGGAAACGCTGAAAACAGTATTGTGGTCTTGGGGGGAAAAAAAAGTAGACTTAACTACCTACCTCAGAAAGAAAGAAAGTGAGCTGCAAGCTGTAACTCCAATCTATACAACATAGCAAGGGACGGTAAGAACCAAGAGGAGAGTGTTGCCCCAACCTCCATTATCATGCGTTTGTGTTAGAAAAAGCAAGGAGCAAGTCTTTTTTTATATATTTAATATGCACACCAGTCTAGTAGAATGTATATGCCCAAACATTAAAAACCACACCACACACAAACCTCCCACCCCATCCCCAAACCCTGTCACAAATTCAGGAATTTTTATGTGGAATCAATTGGTATGAGAACCCTAAGTGCACCGGCCACTTTAGGTGCTTTTTCGGCTATTCATACAAAATACTGTTCAGTAGCCATGACTTCAAGCAGCAAAAGCCTTTTCAATTACCTTGGGGTATCTATAAACAAAATTATATGCCAAAGATACACTGAAGGGCTCGAGCAACACTTACACAAAGACTTGCATGCTTATATACACTTAAACCAAAAGATACCATACTTGATGTAGGTAATTTAAATGTGGCTTATTTTGAGGTGACTAAATAAATTTAAAGCTAATTCACACCAAATATAGTTTAACCAAACTAATAGCATCCATCTAGCCCTTCGACATGTATGTATAAGCTGAACAGAAAAAAAATCTGTGCAGTCAGATAAAGAACTGGAATATGACAGATAATGGTACTAAGAAGACAGAGAAAGGTTCATGTCATGTTTCAATACATTCCAAAGCATGCTGAGTAAACAACCAAGAGACATGTACACAAATACCAGGGAAGCAGCCAAAGTGCCAAAAACAGTGGTCATGGGGAATTAACATAACCAATAAAGACAAAAAGCTACTGGTAGTAATGTTTCCACACAAGCAAAAAGAAAAGCGGGAAGACACAGCTAAGATTATCTGATGACTGACATAAAAGCAGAAGGAAGCACGGGAGGTGTTTGCTGTACCCCAGTTTACAGACTAAAAGTCCCTGAGAGACTGGGGAGTTGTGGCTGCCCTCTAGTCAGCAAGCTGAGAGCCAGGAGGGAGAATTTTGACAGAAGGTAACTATATAGAGGATACCTAGATCCCTACAGAGGACAAAGTGCATAAATTCTATCTTCCAATTACTGAAACAACCTTGGAAGTTAGCTGCTAAGAAAGCTCTGTGAGTACGTCATTACTCATTGTACTTTTGCTCATCTTATTTTCCTTCTGTGTTTCCACTTTTTTAAAAAACAAACCCAACATTAATTTACCTGGGTTCTATTGAAATCTTTAGTAGCTGCACAAACAGCACGCCTGTTTTCTTCTTCTTTTCTTTGTTGCTCCATAGTCTTTTGGTCAAATTCAATCCTATTCTTGTCATACAGATCATCTGAATTAGATTAAAATGAAATTTAGTCAATATTCATGGACATGATGTGCCATATGAGTAAGATACTATAAGACATAGAAAGAGAGAGAGAGACAAACAGACCGACCGAGGAGCTACAGATACAGTAAGCTGAATTACATAACTATTTCCAAATCCTACCACCGAAGCTTTCCATTTTGGAATTTAAGGTGACTCATGAAATCAGTTTATGATGTAACCCATCTTGTCTTAACAGTTAGACAAAGTTAAAATGAAAAAGTATGTTAAGTATTGCAGAAAAAATGTTTTATGACAAGCTAAAAAAGAAAAATCAGTATTATTTTGTCTGCTGTAGAACAGTAAAGATTGGACAATTTCGTCTGATAAAGTAAACATACCATCTAACATGCAAACCAGACGGTTTTTCAGAATGCTCTGATACTTCATTTGGGGTGTAAAACAGAAATGAAACCTAGGTAATACTACAATCATTACATGTTATTAAATATAGATTTATTAAGTGAGATATTGAATACATTAGAGCTTGTAAAGTAAAAATTACTGCAGTATTTCTAAAAGCTGAATATTGAATATACTAAAATACTGCTATGTTAGAATCTGACACAATAGGCTATACCAGTTTTGTCAGATACACCAGAATTTCAGAAAAAGCAGATTAAAACCTTATTATCTTCTTTTGTTACCTGCAAATTTTTGATCAGCTAATGCATTCTTCCAGTCTCTCTGTTGCTGAAGGGACCACTCTCTTAACTGCTCCTTTTGAAATTTCATCCTCTGATCATAGTTTAAGTCTTCACCTACAAACTTCTGCAAGCCAGATACAGTACATCGAGGATCATTGTCTGAAAGTCGAGCAGGTCTGTCCTTCTTTAGAGCTTGTGGATCAGACAGGTCAAATTCACGTCTTGTTTCTGGCTTCTGAAAATTCTTCTGAAATTCACTGATAGCCTTATTTATGTTTCTGGTATCATTTTTCTGTCGTTCTTCTAACATACACATGATCTTATCATTTTGCTTCATTTCATTAGCTAGAGAAAAATGAACACAATGAAAATACAACTCTTAGAAGTGCACATGTAAGATGGAAAATAAAATTGTCAAGAGAAATTAATAGAATATAAGTCTTCGAACTTTTATACCTTAGAAAAGAGCATTTGATCTATGAGTACCAGCCCAGCAAACACTCTAATGTTAGTAATATTTACTTACAAAATACTTTCAGTTTTTTAGGTATCAATTCTCTTATTAATGTTACAATGAAATATACGCATGTGAAACAAAGACAATAATAGATACCTCAAGAACTACGAGGTTTCATTTGATTAAAACTTGCAGTAACACACGAAATGTACCGTATACTAATTCTTCCCATTTACTCTTAGTTTACAGTTACAACTGAAATACATTGTTGCTTATTAACAAACAAATAAATATCAGGCTCCCAATTAAAGGAATATAGATAGTTGTTCCACAGTTCCAATTATTTTCTTCTAACCATAGCACTAAAACAATTGGCTGGCACTAACAGTTTTTGAGGAGCTTAATCGCTCTTGCCCATTTAATCAGAATGCTGTAATTGATTTAGTTTTAAAGAAAACCAACCAAACAACAAAAAAAAACCCACCCAAAACTAGCCATTCTAGCCTTTTAGATATAATTCACATGAAAAGATCATTTCCTCTGCTGCCAGACTACATATTGCTTCTGGCAGTTTCCTAGGAGTCAGAGTCTGACAGGTATTCTGCCAGGAAAATCACAAGCAGCCATAGAAACACAGCATGGAAGTTGGCAGCTCCATTCTAGTTCTTCTTGAAACCCACAGAGAGCTCAGTCTGTGGGACCTTTTCACGTGATACCACAGGAAACCATTCCAAACACAGAGGGCCGCAAAGGGTTTTGAGGTCAGGGGACACAGCTGAAATATTTGTGTGGCTACGTGTTCTGACTCAGCAATGGCTCCTACTTACAGCCCTGTTGTACATAACTCATGCTTCTAGCAATAATAATCTATAGAGGATTCTACAGAATCTATATATTCTACTGACGAATGGCCAGACAGAACATAGGTTTACTCTACAAGAAAGCAATCAAACAAAGTTGCCACTATTACTCTGAAAAGAACAGTATTAAGTAATTAAGTTTTTTTAAAATGCTCCCGTATCTTCAGGTCTCTAAACAATGCTATTTGTCAACAATTATTAAAAGAAAACACTGAAAATTCCGGTCTATTAGGAAATGTACACCAGTTTAATCATGTCAATATAAATCTTTGGATACTGAAGAAAATACATACTGTACCAATGCAAATGTACAAACATAAATAGGACTACACATTATAGTATTCAGTTTGGATGTCTGAATTTAGAGAAACGCCTACAATTGCGTTTATATATAGAGAGAGATTGATAGATTTATATAGATAGAGATATATAGCAAGATTCAAGGAGATAGGCTCCATTTGGAAATAAATATGGCAGTTTGAAATACTTGAAGGGCAAAAGAAAGCAGGAAAACAGATGCTAAATTACATTTAGCTCTTCACAGAAATATCAGAATATCTATGAATATACCAAGTCCTTCATTCCGTGCTTTTTCAGCTGCTTCTTGAATTTTCCTGTCCTTGACCTGGGTATCCAATGCATCTTTATCAACCTATTAAAATGAAAAAAGAGATACTATGTTTCAACGATTAAAAACAGGCATTGTCAAACTACATTCATTCACAGTTGTAGCAGAATGATATAAACCCACTACCAACAGAGTCTATACACATCACAATTTAATGTAGGCAACGTAAAAAGAAAATTCAGAAACAGCAATATTCTTGTTGGTTTGCTTCATGTTAATAATGATTATATATAATTATATATATATATTTTCTTGCACTGAATCAGAACAAAATACCATATTTACATGATATATAAAGCTATAAATATAAACATTTTACACCACATTACACAGAATATGTTTTCCCCGTTACAGCTGGATTTTTACTTAGTTTTTCTTGGTTTTCTGCTTTCATTTATAAAGCCAACAAGTATTTTGACAGTCAAGATGACAGGAAGTTGTAATAGTTCAGATGTGAAAAAAATATAGACAGTTCACTAACAGTAAATTGAAGAAATAACCAGGGATGGATAGAAATTTTCCAGTCTTATCTGATAGAGAGTGGGATTCATGTAGTTGCAATATTGAGATACAAGGAGACATCTGCAATGAGCTGATGGACACGGTACAGGATATTCACATCCCTGGAGAGTGGTCGCTGAGCCTAAGGCATGTCATCAAATGCTTGCAGCCACCTACATTTTAGGCAAAAGAATCAGGTCCTGTATTTGTTGACAGAAGGTGCCAAATAAACAGGCAGAAACCTGGAATTTATTTTATCAAAAAACAATGACAATTCTTCAAGAATCTGGTAAATTATTTTGATAGTCTTTGCCTAAAAACTATTCAGATCAAGACAGAAAGACCTAAACAGATCATGGCTGAAAATTAACACATTGTTAATGCTGTAAAGGACTACTGACTATACCAATCAGGCAAAGAGGTAAATCTGTAAGCAAGGGTGAGACCATAAAAAATTCTACAGGGTATCATTGTCCAAAAACAATGGCGTCATGGGCATTAAATATCAACTCATTTAGAGATCTCATTTGGGAAACCAAGCTTTCAATGTAACTATAGGAAACACTGTTAAGAAAAATTCAATACGACTTCATTAGTAGTTTCTGGCAATAATACAGGTGAATCAATGTATTGACTTGTGTGTGCAAATTCAGTTATGCTATCAGCTCTCTTGCATTTGAACTGCTTTCACTTAACAAGAATACATCCCTAAAACAACCATTCCAAATCACATAAAGCTGCAGGTTTAACTTTTAAGCATTAAAATAACAAATTCCTTACTATGAACAGTTTGAAGCAGCTGATTTCTAATCTGCTTGTATTTATGTATAATAGCTCATATATAAATGGAAAGTAATTTTTCATTTGGACTACTCATCTGAACTCTTTTGGGAAATTACTAATTTACTGAGGATAAATTCTTAAATCTGTAAGTAAGAGAGCGGTATCTTACTTTTCCATTACTCAGATGAGGAAACAGATACAGAAGTCAAAGTAATAATAAAACTAGTAATAATCCAGAAAAAAATTTAAATCTCAGTTACCATTCTGCTTTCCAGTCAATATATTATCTCCATGTTTTTAAACTACTCAATTCCCGCTTAAGGATCTGTGGTGTCTAAGTCAAGTATCACCTTGATTTTTTAATTTTGTCAGACACAGCTGCTCAACTAAACTGGTGAGAGAAAGAGAGAAAGCAAAGAACCTAAAACCGCATCAGAAGTACTGATACAGTATATCTCTGTATAGATTTGTTGACTCTTCGTGCTTTGGACTTGGCCTAACTTCAAAGCACAAGAATAGCCCCTTCTGTCAGCAGTCATTGTTCAGCCAATGAATAAGGTACATTGAATGATGTTAATCAAAATATTTACAAAATTCCTCCAATGGGCTCTCCTTCATTTTAGATGTTTGTGTCATGTAAATAGATCTATCAAAACCTGTCTGATAGTCAGTTCTGCGAAAGTATTTGAGAAAGACCTTCAGATGGTGTACTTCAGTATTGCTCAATAAAGTACACAGAGTTATGCTGATTTTCATTAGCTGAGAACTTATACTTTACAGTTAATTTTTAAGGCTCTAGAAAAGCCATCTTGCAGAGAAATTATGTGTATCCTGATAAAGAAAGTTGAACTCCCTTGCTATACCCATCCCACATCTGTTAAAAAAGGTTATTAGCTCCTTCCACTTAAGTATATTGTTGGCTACCATATTTGTCAGGGTGCTGTATCAGGTGGGCAACCCATCCTGTTTGTTAAATGGGAACTGCTACTTTGCTGTGCAACTTGAGTAAGAGTCACAAGAATAAACCCAACGTGCCGTCAGAGATAAGGTGAAGATATCCATACACTGACATATGAGACGTGTTTCAGTACCCGAGACAAAATGGATAATTGACATCTGTTGCAATTCTACCAGTCCGACGACGTCAACAGACTGGACTTATTTTCACCAATTCTAAATTTGGTCCTACACTAGTTAATGCTACAGCACTTACATAGAATATATCCATCAGCAGCAAGTACTCAAAATACTTTACAAGCAAAATTTAAACTTGCTTCACCTCACAGCACTCTCCCTCCACGCACACACATGGAGTGTTAACACAGGCCTTTGCACACATTACAGGAAGATTAAATGAACTATTGCATCCAAAATTTAAATAGGTATAAAATACAACATACTTTCCTGACATTCAGGATGCAAACTGCATAGATGACTCTAGACAAAACGCACCAGAGCTATCACCCCCACAAATCTTCACAGACTGAAGGGCATTCACATTCTGACATCCACTCCAGGAAAAATCACACACATCAGTTAATTCCGTATACATAAACATGGCCTGATGGATCTGTCGTATTTTGCCTGATGCAAAATAGGAACCAAGTGCAGGATCCCTTTCAGCAATAAAACTCTCACAGCAGCGATTCTAGCTTCTAGTGAGAATCAGATGAGGGAAGTAGCAGCACAGCAGAAAGGTAAAACCCACTTGTTTACGCCACATTGCGTGAGCTGACTCTGCAGGCTTCTGGCTTACCCCAAAGCAAAGCATACTACATTAAGTTAACTCCTACACCGACAATGAAACACAGGCTTGATCTTTCTTTCCCATCAAGGAAAAAGAAAATCTTGCCCTTGAACCCTACAGCAGTGAGACACAAGTCCCCCTCACACTTCCCCCGCCCCCCCCCCCAGCCACAGCTGCCAAAAATAACTGTTGACGATACCTAGAGAATCCCAACTCGCTTTCACCAGCAACTTTGTTAAAGCGCCTCAGCCCTCTGAAAGACGCAACAAGGCGCTTTCTCCCCGTTTCCTTCCCTACCTGCAACCACGGCCTGCCCGTAGACACTTACGAGGCGCTGAGGGAGCGCGCGCTCCCCGCAGCCTTCGGGGCGGCCACCTCCCGCCCGCCCC